GTATTGTAATATTTTACATTATGTGTTTGTGATTCATGTTGAATATTGTTACTATGAGTTTACTAAGTTGGGACCGGAGGGTTCCATTCAGACACATCGACCGGAAGGTCTTATGGAGTTATGGCCTAGAGTGGCTAATGAGTTGTGTATGGTATTTTGGGGAACTCACTAAGCTTTGTGCTTACCGTGTTATGTGTTTTGTGTTTCAGGTACTTCTCAGGATTACGGGAAGGCATCGGCTTGATTGTACAGACACACCGAAGATTGTTTAATGATTAAGAGGATCCTGGAGTTTTATATACAATTTTCTTTTTGACATGAGTTTTAATGAATTGACATTTTGGCACTTTGTGGTTTTATTATTGGAATGAATGTGTTTTGAAATTTAAAAACTTGGTCAAAAAATTTACGTTGTTACAATCAACCTCATCCACGCTAATTGTAGGGTTGGTGTTATTGGTTTCCACATCTTTTGAAAATTCTTTAGAATCTTCTGGGGTTATTCAACTATTAACCCCAATATAGGACTAAGTTTTTCATTCATGTAGAAAGCCTTTGCCTTTTTGTTATCTTGTTTTCCTTTACTTGGCCACTAATTTGGATACCCGATTTGTTTACAACAACCATCCTTATGTCAACCTTGCTTCCACAAAGGTGCATTGTTTCAGTAACTTATGCTCCCTCATTTGAAATCATTTTGTTTTTTCCTTTTGTTTTACTGCTTATGATCGATAATGGCTTCATTTCGATTTTGAATGAAGGACTGGAATGTTGCAGCCTTAGTCTTCGATCTCTTAACAACATTGATGGATATTTGTTGCTCTTCTTCAGCAACAAGGTGATACGTGGTTCCTAAGTCTAGTGTGGATTGCATAGCGAGTGTTTGGGTTTTAATGGTGGAATACTCATTTTTAGGCCCACAATCCATGGACTTTCCTTCCAGTGTCGCATGTATAATTAGTACAAGTGCAATGGGGAATAGGCAAGGTAGATTGAATTTCATCCGAAATGGCTCGTAATTTGATGTATTAGCTGGACATGGACGCTCTATATTATCTTGTTGCTATGATCGATTGCTCTAACTCATACGCCCATGGCGCACCCGTTTTTCTAAATCTTTCTCCAAGATCACTCCAAATTTTGCTTGTTGTGTTGGCATACTTTACACTAGATTTGATGTCCTTCTCCATGGCGGTGGTTAACTATACCTTTATCATAGAATCACAGTGTATCCACTGCATGTAGACTTACAATTTTTCTTATGTTGTTCGATTGTTCAGTAGATGAAGTTGATCTTGTTCTTGGCGAACAGAAAGTTCTTCATCTATTGAGCGCAATCATTATAGTTACCGCCTGTCATGACATCATTCACGTGTAGCTGCCTAGGGTACCCTGAGAAATGAATGTAGTATGGCGAGTTGGAATCAATTGTCCCTCCATCCTTCGATAATTTTGGTTTGCCATATCTGGCGAGTTCTTACTGCAGATTAACAACATGCTCTAATACCATAAAGAAATGAGAAATTAAATATTTTTCTACATTTTATTCCTACTAATATTTCTATCCATGTAAAATGGTGACATGTTTTATATTTGGATAAGATTAATAATATTTGAATACATATGTCATCATTTTAAATATATAGGAATATATGTAGGAAGGAAAGTAGGAATATATTTAATTTCTCTAAAGAAATTGGCGATTTCAATGCTTGACTTTTCATTCAATAACCAAGGGATTACGATCATAAAAAAACTAGGACACTAATAATTTGGATAAGGATAACGATATTAAAGGTATTGTAATCCATTGAGATAAGGATAACGATATTATTTACCTCTTTGGGACCTCAATGGTTGAATATGAAAATGTAAGTTGCTCTCGTGATGAGAACCTAATGATTAAGGTGCGAAATTCTACACATAAGGTATATGGTTCAAAACAGGTATATATCTAAAATATTGATAGTATTCCGCAATTGACTTCTCACATATGTTCTTAAATGGGTTAATGTGGACCATCTATAAGATACAGTTTAAATGTTTTTAAGATGTATGGTACAATTAATTTTTGTTATATCTAACTTTGTTTATGATCTTTCAAAACTTTGTTTATTTGCTCCGTAATCTAATATTCTTGTTATTCCAAACAAACGTACTAAACTTCAAAAAAAAAAAAAAAAAAAAAAAACCTAAAAAAAAAAAACTAAAAAAATAACATTCCTCTTCAAATAATTTGCAAAAAAAAAAAAAAAAGCTACTATCGTGTTACGCTGTCATATTAATCATTTTAATGGACATTCATTCTTAATTGATGATAATACCCTTTTTAGTTTTTAGGATCTTGAGTTGCCGTGTTTCAAACATATGTCACCTCAATTACATGCTAGAAATATCATTAACATATCATATTTTAAAAAATTATCTAACATAAAGAGTAATAATTGAATGTATTAATGTATATAATGTTCTTGACTTGATGTTCATGACATGGATGGGACTTCTCGTGGCCTATAGGGACGAATCAAATTAATTTATTTTTATGGAAAGGATGTTTTTTCTTTTTTTCTACATATTGTAAAACCAATCATGGCTTTATATCAAAATTATAAGATCACTTCCTTATAAATATTTAACAATATCATGACACGCCTACCCTTTTAAAATTACAATATCTAAGAAATGAGGTGAAATCCTATACTAAATACTTTCTGCTTAAAGCCAAAAAATAATATTTTATTTTTATTTATCTTCTTATTTTATCAAATGTTGATATATATCATATTTAATGAAATTGATAATATTTTAGTTCAATTGTCATCATTTAATGTGGATAGAAAGATAGTAAGAATAAAATGTAGACGGAATTTTAATTTCTCTTTGATTTTATGTACCAAATGAGTAAAGAAACCATATTATTATCATAAGTGATAACCTATAAACCAACAATATTAGTAAACTGAAATAATAATACAGTTTTCACATGAGACATCAAATTGATTAACAACAAATAAAGCAAAGAGTTTTGGATAAAAGAAAAAAAAGTTCTTAAAATAGATGACAATTTCTCCACATGATTAAAATTTGCATATGACAGTTGAGAGTTTTGGGTTGGAATCTTATATCAATATGATAATAACAATCTCACTTGACTCTTAAATTGCAATATATATATATATATATATATATATATATATATATATATATATATATATATATATATATATATATATACTAGTCGTTTACCAGCGCAAAGCGGCGGACGATGAATAATTCGTTTCAGCAATTAGTTCTTTTTGGTGCAAACATGTTTTAACAATATATTTCATTCGCAATCATGTTATATTTCAAGGAACACAAGACATATAAATATATGTTATATTTCAATGAACACAAGATATATAAATATTTCTATTGCTCGGCATGCACCTGATAGCAAATCTTTGGCATGTTCTTTGTTGAGACTTGAGAGATCCAAGAGGCAGGCTCCATAATGAAAATTGTTGCAATTCCTCGTAATCTCTTCATTTTCATTCCTATTTATTCCCTGTTAAAAACATGATGATAAGAGAAATAATAACCAAAGGTTGAGTAGATCCAACAGTTAGGATTTCAAAGTGAAAGAGATGCATGGATCTTCAACTCAAAACATGGATCGAAGTCCCACTGGAACTCACAGTTAAACAAACACTTAGAGAGTTGGGTTTTTGAAAGATAGATACATTGGCATTTGTGTTTCAAATAGTGGTAGTTGCCGGAAACATGGATGAAACAAATACGTAGATATAACTCATTTCATATTAATCTCACAAATTAACTCTTCAGCTAATAATATCTCATTCCAACAAAATAATCATATATGCATTTCTTTGATGCATAAGTTATTATACCAAAAGATATCAATAACATATTCATTTATAAGCTAATTGGAAACTTATAATGCTTATCTAATAGGAAGTTGACGACACTTAAATCAAAAGTAGAATAGAAAACAAAATCAAAATTAGAAGTTGTATTGATAATTGAAAATAAGAAAACTACCAGGAACCAAGGTCGGCTTTGACAGAACCCTGATTTTCCATGGCTGTTTTTAATTTTTAATTTTTTTTGTAGCTTTTCTTCAGTGACAACCTCCGCACACCTCCCCCCTTTAGGCTCGTTATCTTCTCTTGGAATCAAAACTCATTCTAGACCTGATTAAAAAAATATATGTTAAAATGTACACCCTTTGAAGCACTTGATCGAATAGATAGAGGGCAAAATATATTTACCATGATCCTTAACTACAAACTATTGTCAATTTACCTGTTATAACACTATAATGTATGGGAAATGTTTTTGCAGGATTGAAGTCATATCAGTTGGACCAGAGACGATTAGTAGCGATGGTGGATATAAGGAGACAAAGCGACTTTTTTGAAGATAAGGGGGGTGAACGAAGCAAGCAAGACTGGGTCTAGCTTTAAGGTGGGATGGTACGATGTAGGTGATTGTGGATGGTTGTACGTGGAAGGAAGACGTTGGTAATATTAGGGCCAAGGGTGTGATGACGTCTGATAGATGATGATGAATTCTTAATGGTGACGGTATGGTGGTGACTGTTGAATTGTTACGACGACGTTGTATATAGGAGACGGCTCGACCATAATCGAGAGATATTTGTCATGATTTCAGGAGACTTAAATTAGGTTTATGAGAAGGGTTGGGTCAAAAGCAACCAAAGAGTCAATGTAACTCTATTTTGACGAGGTCAAAAGTCAAAACCATAGAAAAGATAAGATCTTAAAGATAGGTGATTTAAAATTTTAATATTATTTTATTAATGTTTTGTTGACTATTAGCTTAATGGTTTGGACATCTTAAAAAATAATATTATCATATTAAATTTATTTTTAGAAATAATTAGATTTTATATATATATATATATATATATATATATATATATATATATATATATATATATATATATATATATATATATATATATATATAATAAAGAACAATTTTGAAATACCCTTATCTATCTTACACCTATCATCGTCACATGTATTTATGAATTTAGGCTAGCTGTTGCACTTGTCTCACTGGTCATCTTAACAACTTGATCATGTGAGATATGCACAATTATAAATTCTTGCTCCAATTATAAAGCACATAACCACATGAAACTAGATGCCCTCTCACTTGTCTTTTGTACCTCATCACATGACAAAAATCTACTAGTAATTCATCATATTTTATAACTATAAAAGAACACCCTTTTTCAAACATTTGATCTCCCCTTGAAACTTGGGTCTTGACTCATTTCTCTCCCACAAACTTTCTTGGGTCATTCCCCAATGAATCTTTATATATATTAATCTTAAAAATCTCGTATTTCATATAGTGTTTTCTTTGTTAAAAGAAATGGGGAAGAAGATTATGAGATTTGGCAAGTTATTAGACAGTTTGTGTCTCTCAAATGGTGGTGCAAGTTCTTGTCTTTGTTGCATTAAAAGTTTTGAAATCCAAGATGATTCTGAGTTTGAGACAGAACCACTTGTCGATCAGTCCAAAGATGCATCGGATAAACCTCAGACTCTTGCCTTCTTTCTAAAGCCAAAGGTAATGTCTTGAGTTTCATAATTCTTCACAAATATGTCTTCTTACATGTAACATGTAGAATCGATATGAGAATCTATCAGTATGGAATCCGCTTTTTCAAATCGGTGTTTACATCTGAAGTATGTTGAGTTACTGGTATTATCCTCTGTTTAAGAAAATTGTTTCAAACTCATTTTGTGAATTTGGCTTTCATGTTTCCCAACATAAGTTAAACTAAACTGGAACCAATAAAATAAAGATTGAAAATGAAAGTAAATGGTATTAACATGTATCACGGTATACATGATTTTGTGTGTATACATGCTTTTATTCTTTAATAAATCAAAAAAGAGCTAATTAAAATAATATGAAATATGTTTTCATCATATTACCAATCATGAAATATAAATTTTATTAACCATTTATTGTAAGTACGGTGAGTTTAGCGGACTGTCAGATTATCATTTTATTTTTGATATATATATATATATATATATATATATATATATATATATATATATATATATATATATATATATATTTGCTATAATATATTGAATTATACAAATTTATTGAAGAATTATATATATATATATATATATATATATATATATATATATATATATATATATATATATATATATATATGCTATAATTCGATGATCACTGAATTTCATATCCATTAAACGTTTTATTATGGTTGAATTTCTTTCTGAGAACTTTGCATTCCACCACATGTTACTCTTCTACTAAAATATGCATCTATCAACGTCTCTTGTTCATTATAAAATGTTATGTAAATTGGTAACAATAGTAAAGTTTGTATTTATTATATTTTTTTGCAATTTACAACTTACATTGAATAGACTATAATTGTGTGTATTGGCTTTTTTTAATTCTTCTTGCCTTTGCATTATGCATAGATGGTGGTGCTAAGGGTGTCCATGCATTGCAATGGTTGCGCAAGGAAAGTACAAAGACACATCTCCAAGATGGAAGGTAACATTTTTTAATAAATATTTTCTAACAGTTTTAACAATAATAATATCTTTCCCATTTTATGTTCTTGCATAGAGTATTAGAAATCTTAGTCGCTTTGTATGTCTATATGCTAGATAAATGTTTAAAATACTTTGTATATAAGCATATGTGGATCAAAACCAACGTTTTTAATACCATGGAGTAATTATTAATTGATAAGTATTAATAAGTATAGGTCGAAAACTTATTATTTAGAAATTTGTAATAAAATATTACATTTGTTTTAGATAAATTAAAGTAATGGTGTATTTTATAATTTTTCTCGATATGCGTGACATAGAAAAGAACCAAAGTACAAACGCACATTCTTCATGCCTCTGTAATTTCAACTATCAAAATTTTATATCCTTATCTATCTACATATCTAACAATTTGATTATAAAGTGTATGATAAAATAATTTCAGTATCATATAATAATTATATACACTTTATATTTTGTCAATTTCTAATAATTGATGAATATTTCGTGTCCCAATAAGAATAATAATAATATTTGTATTTGAATTTATTGGTAATAAAAACAGGAGTGACATCCTACCAAGTGGACCTGGAAACCAAGATGGTGATCGTAATGGGGGACATTGTTCCATTTGAGGTGTTGGAGAGTGTTTCTAAGGTCAAAAATGCACAACTTTGGACTGAACACCCATCTCATGATTTTTTGGAATAGATTAGTTGTATTAAAATCAAATATATTTTATATATTTGTGTAAGTAGAATTTTAAAACGATGTCGTTATAAATGGTTTTTGGGTTAGGTTTGTCATCAATTAAAACATGTATTGTGTTTATTTATGATATGAACTTACCCATATTAAGCTCGTATCATGTTATTAGACTAAATGTAAAACTCAATTAAAAGTCGGTTTGTATAAGGATAGAATATCAAGACTTACAAACCACCAATCCAATTCATATTTGAGTATATGGGATAGTAATAATTTAAATATGCTTCTATTTTTTTTCTCCTCTTATTTTATACGTGACATCATCGGAAACTAATAGGAGGATGATTAGAAAAAATAAAAAAGAAAATATTTAATTTATTAATAATTTAACAATGACATATACACAAAGGTCTCATATGTATATTTAGAAATTATTATTTAATCATGCGTTTTAAAAATCATAAAACTGGCACAAAGGCTATGTGTGGGAGACCATGTGAAAAGTTAACTAATAGCTGAAAAACTAACTAATATATAAAAATGTAGCTCAAATGGCCTTTGACCTAGCGCCAATGAATGACATTCTCAAAAAGAGAGGTTATGAGTTCAGGTGTCGTTAAGAAACATAGGTGATTTTAGGAGTATACTAGTTAGTCGGCTCAAAAAAAAAGATGGAAGTGTAGTTAATAGCTGAAAAGTTAGCTGATAAAATATAACATTTAATAAAAACTAGCTGATAATCTAACTACGAAATATAAAATGACATGCACGGAAATGATTCACTATTACAAGACAAATATGTAATACATACAATTAAAATAATGCTAATACTAAAAAAACATTTTTTGGATTGTTTGTATTTAAGTATAATTCCATTCCCATATCATATTATCACGAATTTCTCGCATCTCATAGCATGACTGTCGAATATTATATTGACTAAACCTTGAATTCTCCCGTTCTTCTGTAAGTATGTAATTGTGTTGTTGAACAATGTTGAAAATCATATCTTTTTAGGTATTTCTTCGAATTTAGTTATGAAGGGTAATATCATCATTATCACATCTACGAAATAAATGCTCAATTATCACATCTACGAAATAAATGCTCGTGCGTTGCGCATGTTAATAAAACATTGAAAAAAATATATGTTTATTAAAACGATATATTCATGCACGTTACACATAATTTAATAATAGGAAAAAAAAATTGTATATTATATATGAACCTACAAATTTTGGATATAATTTTAACTAGTAAAAAAGTTAGCACTTTGTCGTGGGTTACATGTTGTATGTTGTGCATAAGAATATTTACCATAACCAATTGGAAAAGGCCCAGATTGTGGCAGCATCACATAAGAATCTTTGTAGCAGCCAACTAAATGGTTAACAATCTACTTTGAGTCCAAACAGCGCCTAATCAGCCCATCAACTTCGGCCATGAACAAATAGCTACATAGGAATAAAAAATGAATCTAAGATACCAAAATAGACAAACAAAATAAATAATATTATTATTTTTGCAGTTATATCCTGGTTGGGGTAAATGCAAGAAATAATAATGTACTTATAGGCAATTGAACGTCAAAGTATATTGTTATTTTCGGAAAAAGAAGCAACTTGTTTTATTTAGCATATCTTATAATATCCGTAACGTCCCCAAAAAAAACAGTGATAAAACTTTTCATTTTTAAAATCACCAATCTCATACATCATGAGTCTCAAAAACAACCACGATACAAACTATTCAAAACATCAAAGTAAAAGGAATCACAATTGTGGAAACACAATGGGAGAATTGTTGTGTTATCACGTCAGACTCTTTCCTTTCATACCGAAAATACCTAAAACCATAAACATAACTGGAAACGCACAAACCTTAGTAAGCTTCTCAAAAATACCACTTACAACATACATATAAATATAAAAATGCATAGTAGTGTTGGGTCCATATCAACCCCATGTAACAGAAAGTAGTTGTGTCAGGTCCATATCAAACCCCAGGTCCGTATCAACCCCCGTGTCCATAGTGACTCCAAGCCTAGATCGGCTCCATGCATACATCATACAATCATATTAGTTATAGCTATGTAATCATATTTATCCTACACATACAAATCAGTAAGCCAACATTGGTGCCTTCAACCCACTAGTATAGTGTGATGATTCACCTCACAGAAAATGCTCTACTACTACTGCTCTCACTGATAGAGTACCACTATTGTGCACCACCTAATAAATCAAACCAAATAAACCTTGAGCACTTCCTCCAAAATAGGTGCTTGACCAAAAGTAAGCTCAAGTCAAACGTTAATGGTTAAAGTCAATGCTCAACGTTGACTTTGGTCAACTAAAATGTCATGGCCACCTATGGCCACGCCGTGGCCCTCCAATAATAGCTAATCGTGATTTTCCCCACCGTCACGCCGTGGCGACTTGATCTACGTCGTGGCCATTAGGTTTTCAACAACTTAATAAATTAAGCTATTTTCTTCGATCCCAAAGACTCCAAATTCCAGATCTGGTCGGAAACAAGGTCTAGAAGGACAAAGTTTCCAACTTTACCCGATAGGACCATCCACAACGTCAAAATCGCAAACCCTAGATTCAAAGGAGCTAAATGTGTGATGAATTTTCCCATTAAGAACTTATCCCTCAAAATCAACATAAAAGTTGGTGTTTTATAGACATGCATGTACAATGCTTGTCTTGAAGCCACAATAAGACAAATAAGGTTTTTCTATAGAGATCTCAATCATAGCTCAAAAACCATCGAGATACCAGATCCAAACCAATAATCATCCCCAAAAGCCTCATAGATTTATAAAGTTTCAAGCATTATGAGATTCCATCATTCAAACTCACAAAGTATGAAGATTAAGGGACAAAACATAAGATTTAGCAACCTAGTTTGATAAAATCGAGTCTTGGGCACTTACTAGGGTCTAGAAGATTTCTAACACAAAGTATGAGGAGTAGCGTGCTAAATATTATCTCACTTCTTCCTCTTTCTTCCTTCAAAGGCTTCAAGAACACCACAAAGGCACAAAATGAGGGAGTGAGGAATAAAAAGAGAGAGAGAGGGGGGGAGAGAAAGAGAGAGATTTAGGTTTCACAAGTCTAATGGAGGCTGATACTGAGCAAACCCTAGCCTCCTCATTCCTTTGAATATGGAGAAAAACCCAAAAAAAATATTGTTTTCTCATTTGCCAGCTGCTACGTTGTGGCCTATACTACCATGTCATGATGACCTAAATGAACAATACAGGTTGACCTTGACTTGCCACACCGTGGTGCCTCCCTACCACATCGTGGCGATCCAATAAAATGCCAAATTTGAAAAATGTAAAGTACCTCGGGATTCGGATGTTACATCTCTCCCCCCACTAGAATCAAGCTTCGTCCTTCAAGTGTGCCCCTGCAAATAAATCATGGTAATGCTTTCTCATCTCAACTTCTGGTTCCCATGTCCAATCATAACCCCTTCGGTGCTACCATTGCACCTTTACCAGTTTCACCTCTTTATTGAACAAAAACTATATCTTTCTGTCGAGGATCGCAATCTGTCTCTCTACATAATTCAAGCACTCATCAAAATGCATGCCATCCAAAGGAATTGTTGCAGACTATTGGCTAAACTCTTACATACCTGAGATACATGGAAAGTGTTGTGTATCTGACTGATCTCATCAGATAACTCCAAGCAGTATATAACCTTGTCCAATACCGACAGTAATTCTAAAAGGACCGATAAATTGACGACCTAGTTTCCCCCGTTTCCAAAACCGGATGACACATTACCAAGGTAACACCTTCAACAGTACTAAATCCCCCACCTAAAACTCGAGATGTGACTGATGTTGGTCGGCATAACTCTTCTGTCGACTTTGTGCGACCTAAAACCTATCATTCACCTGTTGTATCATCTCGGTGGTCTATAGCACTACATCGATACTCGTCATGAGCCAATGCCTGACCTTTCCCCAACAAACTGGGGTCCTGCACCTCTTCCCATACAACATCTTGAAACGTGGTTGGTCAATACTAGCATGGTAACTAATGTTGTAGGAGAACTCGGCCAGCTAAAGATATGTATCCTAAATCCTGCCAAAATCAAGCACACATGCCCTGTTCATATCTATGAGTGTGTAAATGGTCTTCTCACTCTGTCCATTGGTCTAGGGGTGGTATATTATGCTAAAATGCAGCTAAGTACCCAATTCCTCATGAAACTTCTTCTAGATCCTGGAGGTAAAATGAACGTCTCGATCTGAAACCACTGAAACATGCACTCCGTGTCGAACCACCACATCTCGAATTTAAATGTCGGTTAGTTTCTCCACTAATATACTCTCGGAAATCGGAATGAAATGTGAACTCTTGGTCAGTCTATTAACAATGACCCAGATAGAATCAGCCCCACATGTCGTCCTTGGCAACTTTGTAATGAAATCCATAGTGATCTATTCCTATTTCCACATGGGAATGAGTAACGATTGCATTTTTTCATGTGGTCTATGGTGTTCAGCCTTGACATTCCAGCAAATGAAACACCACTCCACAAACCAAGCTACCTCTGTCTTTATATAGGGCCACCAATAGCTCAACTACAAATCCTATACATTTTTGTAGCCCATGGATGGATTGAAAACTTCAACTTATGAGCTTCTTCCAACACCGTTTGTCTCACCCCACTAGTATTCGGAACCCAAACCCTCCCACATTGTGTCAATAATCCCTGACTATCCTTTACAAACAATGGAATCTACTCCCTGATTCGCTCTGCCTTCCAATTTTCCTTCTTCAAACACTACACCTCAGCCTCTTTGATCATATCTAAAAGTGGAGATACAGTAACCATCCTTAAACATAAGTTCCCAATAGGTGCACTTGTCGCCTTGTGGGTTAAGGCATCAACCACACCATTGGCCTTGCATGGGTGGTACATGATTTCACAATCACAATCTTTTACAACATCCAGCCATCTCAGTTGCCTCATGTTTAAAGTAGGCTGATCCATCAAATATCTCTAAATCTTGTGATCGGTGAAGATAGTACACCTAACTCTATACATATAGTGCCTCCAAATCTTGAGAGCAAAAACTACAACCCCTAACTCCAAATTGTGCATAGGATAGTTTAACTCATCAGGCTTCATTTGCCTCGAAGAGCAAGCAATCACATGTATCCTCAGCATGAGGACAACTCCCAATCCTAAGATAGACGCACCATAACACACCACAAAATCATTCATGCCCTCGGGAACAATGAAAGTCGAGGCC